AAAAGTAATCGATAACATAAAACAATCATTTAAAGAATCAAGGTTATTAATCAAAAGAGTCTTAAATAAAATAAACAGTTCAAAAACTAAAAAAACTTTTCAATTGTATAGCCTTAACCAATTTATCTTCTCTCAATGCTTGTTTTACTCATTAGTACTTTTCATTTTTATCCAGAACACGACTTGGTGATTCTGTAAACATGGAAATTTAATTATAAAGCTGTGTTTTATGTTTTTGGCAAAATTTGGGTTATGGTAATCAAATTTTTGATCCCAAGTTTGTTTTTTATATTTTTCAATTAAATTTTTGGTGCAAGATTTATTTGTCAAGTAAAATTTAAAAAAGTCAAGTTCGTTATTTTGTTTTTTTCGAGTAAATATTTATAACAAAAAATGAGGGTTGAGCAAAGAAAAAATTATTTAGAAATTATTTGTCTAAAAAATCGGGGCATCCCAGTACAGAGTTTTGAAAAACAGTTTATTTTACTTAACACTTATAAAACCGAAACATGCAAAAAACAAGTTTTTTTAATTTTCTTTTCCCAAATAACAATTTTGCCAAAAAGTATAATCAAAAAAAATATTTTTTGTATGTGATTTTTTGGAAATAATTAATTAAATTAATTCAATGTCGGGAAAAGTTTTAATTTAGTTTTTTATGTTTTTATTCTTAAAAGTATGGAGTGTGAACAACCTGAAGAACCAGAATATTTCTCAATTGATGACAAAGCTGAAGAAAATGTTAACAATAATTTTGGAGAAGAGATAATATGTCCTCAAAATAGTTATGAAAAACATGTTATTTTTGAACCCCAACACGTATTAGATAATCCCAATAAAATTGTTAAAAATTGGGAAACAATTGATCCAGTTTTGGGGGAAGCAGATTTTTCAAAAATGAACCAAAATTACAGAAAAACTGAAATTATTGGTATTTTTTCTAAAGAAATTGAATGTTTTGAAAAAATAATAACTCCCGATTTTTTGGACTTGATTGTGGCAGGAACAATTGAAAAAGGCCAATCGTTAGTTAAAAATTGGAAAGTTACAGACGTGGATGAAATAAATTGTTTTATTGGTGTTATGATATATTTAGGAGCCATGCAAAACAAAGGCCCGATTTCCCGATTTTGGAGTTTAGAATTCGGGCGTCCTTTTCCAAAAATTGCCATGGATAGAAATCGGTTTTATGTACTTTTTCGAAGTTTCCGTTGTGACCTCAAATCAACAAGGGAAGAAAAAAGAAAAGAAACGGTATTTCCAGCTGTAAAAAATTTATTTGAAATATTTTCCCGAAATATTACGCAAATTTCTACACCGGGTCAGTTAATTTGTGTGGATGAAAGAATTTTCGGTTTCAAAGGGCGTTGCAAAGATATTCAATATTGCCCTCAAAAACCAATCAAACGGGGGTTAAAATTTTACTGCGTTTGTACTTACGACAAAAAACTTTGTGTCGGAATGACTTTGTATGAAGGCAAAAAAGAGTCATAAATCAGGAAAACTGATGAACTGCATCACGGAGAGTCAGTAGTGATGAAATTAGTCAAAAATTTAATTCCAAAAGATGCTCCTAAAATAGAATTTTTACTACAAAGCGACAACTACTTTACTTCTATAAGAGTAATTAATTCGCTTGAGTCGCAAAAAATCGGGTACATTGGCACAATGAATCAACGAAGTGCAAACACGCTTTTAGAGTCAAAAAGGAATACAATGTTAGAAAAAGAGAAAATTGACAAAAATGGAAAAACAAACTTCAAAAAAGTTAGAACAACTTGAGAAAAGAGAAACTGTGTTAATTATAAAATGGGTATGTTGGCATCACAGAACGAACTAAATCGGGAAAAAATGGATATTTTGAAAAAAAAAAGACTTTGAAAATATCCAAAATTTAAAAACAACAAAAATGGAAAAAATTGAATTGGAAAAAACCCGATTAAATAAGGAAAAAGAAACCAATCCTCAAAATATTCGATTTTGGAAACAGGATTCAATTCTTTTGACTTCATTTAATCCGAAAAAAACTAAAACTGTGATAATTACAACAAATTCTCTAAATGTCCCGATACTTGACCCCAATAAGGCCAAATCAGAAATGAATGTATTATATAATTACACAAAAACACCTGTTGATACATTCGATTTCCTATGTCAAGAATATTCGACAAAAACAAAAACAAGGAGATACAATATGGTCGTTTTTCAAAACATTCTGGATTGTGCAATGGTTAATTCTTATGGGATGTTTCGGTATGTGATCCAAAATGACTACTTCACTTTTTTCGTTCGATTGGCCAAACAATTGTTAGAAAAATACATCAAAAAACGTCTTGTACATGGAATGAAAAAAACAAAAGAAAAAAGAACCGTGTTTATTGCTTGTGGTCTTTTGGATTGGTGGGAAGAAGCAAACCCTTCACAAAAAAGAAAGAAAAAAATATGAAAGAAAAATTGCTTTCCGGAAGCAAAAGTGCCACCTTTGCGTTGGTTCTAATGCGAGCAGGGTAAAAGAACTCTGTTCGCGTTGTGAAGAAACCACTTGCTTGTCTCATTCTTTAATGCTCTGTCGAGTCTGTTGGGAATTAAAAAGAAGAACGAAAGAAAAAAAAAAGAAAAGAATTGGGTCTAATTGATGGTTTTAAATTGTTTGGTTGAAACTTTTTGGTTATTTTTTAAACTGTATTATCATTTAATCTAAACGTGTTTGAGAAATTATTTTTATTGTAATTATGCAATTCTTTATTTTGTTATCAGGTGGATTGACGATGTAGGATCTGTTGTTATGTTAAGAATTAACATTAAAAATATTTCTTACAAAATTTCATACAAAAGATTATTTTTGATCAATCTTAGGTAATTGAGTATTTAAATTTAATTATTTTAAGTAAAATAAAACTGGCTATTGGCCGGTTTGGGTTAGAAAGGGGTTTTAAAATAAAATGAAAAAAAATGATTTGGACAATTTTTTCTTTACTTATTTTTCTTCTTAAAAAAAGTTTGGGGTTGTGAAAGTGTTAATGTTATTTAAAGTGATAATCAAGGAAAATAAATAATAAACTGTTTTTTTAATAAAAAATAAATTATTGAAATTAAATTTCATTTCTAAAAAATACGATTAAATGATTTATTTCATTCAAAAAACAAACTAGTATATATAATATAACAAATAACATCTTTTTAATATATGACTCAATTGGAATTGGTGTACCTCAAAAATGTTGTTCTTTACATGACAAATACGAGTGATATAATATTATTCATTTTTATGAACAAAAAGTGCAAAGATGTTGTCGACTCGATGTATATTAATCCATACAAATTGTCATATTACAATTCTGTGGAAAAAATACAGAAATTGTTCCCAGCGCTTCAAACATTATATTTGACAGACTTGATCACCAAAAACAGAAAATTGCAGACAGACGTGACACACCTTGAAATCGACTTTTTGTCGTGTTCAAAAACTTTTTCTGTTTATACAATTCAATCAAAAAACATCATTGAAAAAATCAGAAAACTCCGAATCAAATTTTACAACTTGGACTGCTTAACAAGCGACGTAGAGA